AGGAACATCAAACTCCCTAAATTTGAACCACGATGTTTCGATGGAAACCCGGCTGATTATTTACAATTTTTAAAGTAGTTTGAGATCATGCTGAATGGTTTTTATTAACTGATGAAATGAAGTTAATGTATTTGATGAGATATTGCACTGGAAATGCTGCAAGAGCTATACAGTGTTGTAAGTTTATGAAGCCGAAAGAGGGCTACTACGAGGCTATGAGCATACTACGTCAAAGGTTTGGAAGACCTTCGATGATTGTAGGGAAATTATTCGAGGCTGTTAAGGGTAATGGTGGTCAATTACAGAATGACTCCCAGGCACTCACTGAGTTTTTGGATAATCTGTTGACTTACAAGAATGCATTGATTTCGATGAATTCCATGAGTGACCTCAACTCGAGTTTTATACTAGAAGTAATAGCAAGACGTCTACCTACTCGACTGCAAAGGAAGTGGGTGAAGATGAGCTCCCGTATGGAGGATGAGGGTATCGAGCCAAAGTTTGATGACATTCTGAAACTGGTAAACGATAGCGTCAATCTATCTATGAGCAAGTTTGCCAGTATATCGCACCTCACCTCTAGAATAGAGCAGTCTGAGGGTAAAACGCAATGATTGATGACGAAAGGGTCTCAGAGAGGTGGATATCGAGAAGGCTCTATGGTGTCTAGCAATGCATATAGACCTAGTGAGTGTAACAGGTTTCGTAGTACATCCTCAACAGATAGGTTACAAGCTGCAAGACAAACACGGTCGTGTTCTACATGTTTGCAAGACGTGCACACAAAAGCGAACCGTGAAGAAGTGGCCAAGTTTAGTGATAAGCTAAGTGTGAAATCAAGGTCTGACTCCGAATTTTGTGACGATAATAGCGCGGTGAAGAAGCCTGTAGTTGCAACTGGTAAGCCATTGTTGAACAGTGTGTCGCAGACGACACCGCAATTTGTGCAGGAGAAGAGAGTTACAGTTTCAGAGTCCAGTTCTGACTCCACAAGTTTTCAAGGTATTGCTAGTCAGAGTAAAGGCATGAAACCTGTAAGGATTTGTGGGGAAGAACCCAAATCATGTACTGTTGTTATTAAAGGGTTTGAAAATGATGAAGTCGACCAGATAGATGATGGTAATTTGAATATTTGTGATAATGATCATGATAGTGCACATTTGTCTTTGGTTGATCATGATGAAATGAGGGGAATGCCTACTACAGCTAAGTTAAATAAAGGTTCTGTACAATTACAACGTGAAGTAGAATTGAACGCAGATGCAGTTGCAGAAGGTGTGGATACTTGTGAGAACGTCAGTGTAAATGATCAGCGTGTAGCCCACCTATCATCAGATGATAGTGCTAAACCTGAGCTGATAGTAAAAGACAGCAGTGGTGGTAATCTTGCAGTTAGACAACTATCTGAAAGCCGAACAACAACAACTTCTGATGGACCGCTAATTTCATTAACTGGTATCAATCAGTCTTCGTTGATGTTGTCATCCACAATGAAACAGATGCCCATCAACTCAAGTAACTTGTTCAATGACTATGATAGCATTGGTGCGTTTGAAAAGACGAAAGATATTGCCCAGTTTAGTGAGAATAAGCCAAGCGTAAACGGCAGAGTAATTGTTAGATTGACTTGCATGAATAAAGGCATTTCAAGTTTCAACTTACTATTTGAATGCTATTATCTTTGGTGTAAATTACTCTGTTTCTACACTTGGTTGATCAGATATGTCGTGTTTGTTCGTCATCTACACTCCACGATAAAACGACATGAGCGTGTCACCGTTCAGATTTGAGGGTATAGCTTATAGAGGGAAGTCAGCAAATGAACTCTGCAATGATTTTCCAACCCAGAGCGTCAACCTGAGACGGGTTGTAGGCGTACTGCTGTAAGTCCTACAATTCTTCAAAGGGTAGCGCATCAATGAGCAGTGCAATGTGCTTGGTGTGTGATTTTGTACATATGTTCACATTGTATATACTGAATAAATATCATCTGTCACCTAGCTGTTGGCTGTTTTGTTTGTGTCCGGACGACTTCCACTTGTATCATCAACCTGAGAAGGAATGTAGGCGTACTGCTGTAAGTCCTACAGTTCATCAAGGGTAGTTTGTCATGCCAGAATCCACCACTTTGATGTGTTGATAATACATATGTTTGTGTTAAATAATTGTGTGAGTTCCGATTATTGTAATTGTTGGTTAATCTTGTTTGTGTCCGGACATTCCACAACTTACAATCGTCAACCTGTGAAGGGTTGTAGGCGTACTGGTGTAAGTCCTGCGATTCTTCAGAGGAATTCAACCAAGACACGATCCGCGAGGTTATTTGTCCTGTTTGTGTATACGTGTGGTGTTTCTTATCAATTTGTGATTTTTGATTAATGGTGTTTACTCGTTGTTCTCGTACCTTTTTGTTATTGCGTAATTTTGTTAAAATTTTCGTCGCGGTTACTTCTGAAGTTGATTCCAGTCTTCTACATTCGTGAATGAATTGTTTGATGTCAGAGACAGCAGATGGGTCGTATACGCCGGGGAGGCTATTGCTGTGAATGACATGCATACGGAGATAATTGTTAACTGCGGTCCGACACGCCGGGGAGAAAGAGTGTATACGACTGAGGCTCGCATGCGTCACCGTTACTACAACTGAGGCAGAACGAGTGACAAGCGATTTCAGTGATAATTGGTAGTGAGTAGATAAGAGGATGTGCGTAGAGTATCGTGAGGTGTTGCTGTGGTCACGTTGCTTTCTAAAAGAGTCATTCTAGCAAGTGGAGACTGTGTTGCAAAATGTCAAGAAAATACCTTTATCTGGAGGCGCAGGTCGCCATCGATGTGTTAGATTGTGCTGTGGGTATGCTTGTGGTGTGTTGGCTTTTCTGTTTGTTTTCCATTTCAGCTTTGTCCGTGTGACCCAGGTTCTCGCAATGGCATCCAAGTCAACGTGCATTGGTCGTGAAGGAAAAAAGGGTTGGATCCATTTCTTGCCGGGGAGTGTCAATGGAGTTGAAGATTGAACGATCGATTCATGGTTGCTTGCTCAAAACCAACTTCCCCAATTTTCGCGGAGGCATCAATACACCAGTCATCGTCTCATCGGTCGCTATTCAGAAAGAAGTCAGGAGACAACTGTCAGAAGTAATATTGTGATTTATTATTGTAATATTTGTTCATAGACCTTAGTTGTAAAGCTTAATTTTAAAGTTGGCTATATGTTGGTGTTAGAATAAATAATTCTCGAGTCGCGAAACTGGGTTCTGGTTTTCGCATCCGTTCGTACTAAGCGTTTCTGAGAAGCTTCGAGGGACAGCGTGAGTCCCAGCGTAGCAAGAGCTGAGCCTTAACGGTTTATGAGACGTGGCTGACAATATGCGCTGTCGTGGATTATAACTCCATCATAGATGAGATGTTACTTCGATAAATCACACAGTGTTATGCAGTTATATTTCACTAAGAATTTTCCACGCCAAGTGTCTTAATGTAACGGTCTACAGAGTTCACAAACTGACTCATAACACTGAAGTGGAGAAACTTCTATTCGTGCCTAGGGAGTCTAATATAGAGAGTCTTGTTTAGTGATTCCATTGCAATTAACTATCTTATGCTTTCATAGTATTTCGCTTCATGTGGGATTACAGTGCAATTGTATTTTTTTATTACAGCTTGATTCCATACAGTATTTTCAATACAAGTATAGAATTTTCAGCATGTGTTAAAGGTAGTCCAAATTTTACAAGGCGACCATAGATTACAGGTGTGCGTCGGCCGGGGATCGAACTCCGGACCATGTGCATGGTTGGCGAGAGTCCACCGACGAATAAGCTGCGAAATAAAGTTGTCAACCACGTCTCGTAAACCATTAATGCCCAGCTCTTGCTGCTCTCGGGCTCACGCTGTTCCTTGAAGTTTCTCAGAAACGCTTAGTAATAACGGACGAAAAAACCAAAACACCAATTGGCGACTCGAGGATTCTTTATTGTTACACCGACATATAAAAAATATTCCTACTTAAGTCTGTGAACAAATATTACAATAATAAATCACAATATTACTTCTGACGGTTTATTGCTGACTTCTTTCTGAACAGCGACCGATGAGACGATGACTGGTGTATTGATGCCTCCGCGAAAATTGCGGAAGTTGGTTTGAGCAAACAACCACGAATTGATCGTTCAATCTTCAACTACATTGACAAAAGTCCTGATGATTTTCTGAACATTTTACCTTTATTCCAACTTAGATAATAACATTCTCTCGAGTATGAACCTTAGTTATATTCTTAAAATCAGAATCTGAAAGCAATTTAGTCCTTCCTCAAAATAAAGCCCACCTGAAAAACACGTTCATAGCAATTCTACACACTGTGCTCATAGTGCCAATACCCTGTGTCCTAAAATAAGAAGCAGGCTTAGATGATTAAATGGGAACTAAAATTGTTTAAATTGTACATGAATGCTAACTACTACCAAAGAATTAAGAAAGTAAGGTTTCATTATATATGCCACTCATACTAGCATGGTTTAATGGAAATACAACAAGATGCATCTTAATTCTGAACTCCCTACATTATTTAATCCGTCACATTGGCCAAATATCAGTATCAAGCAACATTTCCTGATAAAAGTGCAGCTAATGTAACGCAGTTCAAGTAGATTATGCCGCGGGTATTATAGACGTCAGAAAAGTTCTTTAAAAGAAAACAGCATGTAAAGAACATAACTTGTCATTGAATCATCATAGAAATGGAATAAAACGCTATAATTAGTGGAGATATGCAATGAAGCCTCTCTAAATTAAACAATAATGGCTTAAATTCACCCACCTTTCAAAGTTTGCGCGAGGTGGGTGGGGCAGAACGTTAATCTTCTAAATATAACAGTGTCTTTGAAAAAAATACTTCCGAAGTAATCTTACTTCTTTTTAATCACTTAACTAGCTCTAGTACTGCTACCTAGAACTTTGACTGGGTTGCACTTCAAAGCCCGGGAAACAAAATTACCAAGATGGCTGACATCGCCAGGATGAAATCAGACGTTCTCATCAATGATAAGTATAGATTGATGCGAAAAATAGGGTCGGGGTCTTTTGGAGATATTTACTTAGGTCTTAACCAACTTACGGGCGAGGTGAGTGGGGTGTGGGCTACTTAGCAAATATCTTTGAAATCATTGCAATCATATGTTCATATTTTTATCATATTTCATATATTGATGGTAATCTCTAGGGAGTTTATGTAAGTCTGTCAGTCTAATATCCTAGGTATTGACAAGTAATTGAGAAAAGGGAAAACGGGAATTGAATAGCCTGGAATAATAACAGACAACAGGTACAAATCACCAAAATGAAGTCATGCATTGTGACTCGTCAATTCCGTCAAAAACAGCACTTACGATTGACTGGAGCATGCGTTTTGCACCTTAATTACTAGTGCACGCTGTACTGTTTGATTTGAATATCTAAGTGGTCGACTTGCTAACAGAGAAGTTCTTTGACATGAAGTTCGCATAATGATTTTTCCTCAACATAACCAATACTTGGTCAGTTGGCCTAGGCTTCGCGTTTACCGTTCCGAATAGAGTTTAATGTCGGGGGGTGAATATACCTCGGGAGCTGGAGTAGATTGAGTGTTGTTCAGGCCTCAAAACCAAGTCAATATAGCGCAAATGTACTCATCTGCACGTTATTTAGCTCAGTTTTTATGGTGTAATTAACGCATCCAGTCTAGAGGACTTAAGGCACCCCGATATATTCACTGTTATCGTTAAACTTCACTTACAAAAAAGTAATTTCCCAGTGTAGTGTCCTTAGGTTTTTCCTGTGAGTTTTTAAATTGTGGTAGGTCAAAACTTAAGTTTTACGGCAGTTTATTGTTGCTCGTTTGTAGCAGTTGTACCCAAAGATTATAAACACTTCTAAGCTAACATGAAAGGCTGTGTAGTTCTGATTTCGATTTTACTGTCGCGTCACCGAAAACGAGATTGTAAGAAATCAGTTGAATTACGTTACTCGTGACAAGTTATTTTATTTCATCCATCAACGTTTTGCTGACATACTAACTCCAGCCTTTAATCATTAGTTGCACGCTGGAATGACGACCCAATTTCTAAGACTGAGTAGTGCAGTAGACACTAGCGGGTGCAGTTTCTCATATCATAACGTTTGGTCGCGTAGTTGTGTCCATATAAATACATTCCTTGGTTTTAATCTAGGTCAGATAATTATGTGTACGTAGAGAAGACTTCTAAATTGTCTACAGAAGTGGTTACAAAAGTAGTGAGTTTTGAGATGACTAAATAATATGAAACTTGGGGAGAATCGACCGTCGAGGTCAACGAAGACAGTATGATTGTTATTGCCTGGTTGCTGTCAAACTCGTTGATTCCTTTCCCAAAGGCTCTCAGTCACATCATTTCATTTTACTATGGTTCGTAAATACTAGGTTGGTGGTTGTGTAGTCCTAAATTCTGGGTCATCATAACTGCCGGTTGCCGTGTTTGTCCAAAGGATTCTCCTCCGCGTGTATGTCACAGTAATTGTATCCTGTTAAAAGTTGTAACATGTTGGACTACTCTTAAGAATCTGTAGGTATCTGCACATCCAAACCACTATCGGTGTGTAGAATTTTGACGCCGCTGTCTACTATATAACTGGTTTTAGCAGCAAGTTAGACCTCGGTACCAGAGCTGCACAATGTTCATAAACTCACCTCATAATTTTTCTATTTAAGCATGTAGAGTATCTTTTTGTCTTCTCGACACGTGCTTGAGAAATGTGATAGTGCTTCTAAATGAGATAGTAATTGTTTTGTTGTTTACGTATTTATCTTAGTATTGTTCGTGGTTGGTATTTATACGGTTCTCGTTTTAGGAGGTTGCTATAAAAGTGGAGAATATATATGCTAAACATCCGCAACTTCAGTTTGAACACAAAGTATATAGACTTCTCGCAGGTGCAGTTGGTATACCTCAAGCAAGGTAAGCTAGTTTTTCAGTAAATACAATTAGTCAGGTGGTACGGCACGTGCCGGACCTATTGGGTATTAGTAATGGACCTTCTAGGTCCCAGTTTGGAGGATTTATTCACCTTTTGCTGTCGGCGGTTTACTCTGAAAACTGTGCTGATGCTTGCTGATCAAATGCTAGCTCGAATCGAACATGTTCATAACAAGAATCTGATTCATCGTGATATCAAACCTGATAATTTCCTCATGGGTATCGGGCGTCATTGTAACAAAGTATACATGATTGATTTTGGATTGGCCAAACGTTACAGAGATGTGCGCACGGGGCGTCATATTATCTATCGGTAATTTTTTAAATTTAATAATTTTCCGCAGAGAAGATAAAAATCTCACAGGAACCGCCAGATATGCTAGTATTAATGCACATCTGGGTATAGAACAATCTCGTAGAGACGATCTGGAGTCTCTGGGTTACGTGTTGATGTATTTCAATCGTGGCTGTCTACCTTGGCAGGGTTTACGCGTAAGTTCTTTATGCTTTAAACCGATCACATTAATTCGTGCGTGGAATGTTAGCTAAGCTAAACAGCCTTATTTAACTTATCTGTAATCAGATATTTTTAAGTAGATGGAAAAAATAATGATATGGAAATAAACTAGGAAAGTTTAGGAATCAAAACATGGAGTCAACTATACACAGTGCTACGATTTCTAATAACTAATTCTAACGCACCTTATGGTCCTAACGAGCGATCCCGTCCTTTCTCAAGACTGAAACTTTCAGACTTATGTGAAGTTCTGTTGTGATTTAGTTTGATTACTGGTTGCCGATGTAGACGTTGGTTCAGTGTTCGTTAGCTTTTCATTGCTTGTAAATCTTTTTTAAAAGTAGGTGTAATGCAAAATACACAGGTATATCGCATACTGTCACTTGAACTTTCAATTGACTGTGGTTTTACTGATATCATTAAATAGAACTTAATCAGATCCCTGCCCGTAAATGGCTTAAGAATGTGTGGGATAAAAGTGAGGTAATTAAGATCCACTTTGTAACTAGTAATATTGTTGAAAGTGATTAATCTAACCGGCAATGTTGGTTTGGCATTTCACCGCACAGTTCATTAGTAATTTTGTACTACTTATTACGTCTTCTAGCCTAACTAATAACTAAACTAGAAGGATACTGGTCTACACATTATTATTCAAACCATATGTTTATTATTCAATTACCTTCAGGTGTCCCCAAAACATGTCCTCCTAGTGGCTTTAGTAGGACTTATCTTGATTTGTTAAAATGCGTTTGTCTAACGAACTCCTTGAAGTTGATACTTCAAGTTCCAACAGTTAGTCTGTAAAATATCTGCATTTTTTGTAGGTTGACGTATTTAAGTCTAACGTCATGCTGCGAATGTGTAGTTAATGTAGTTTTAATTTGTTTTAAGTTTTCCTTTTGCTCTTTCACTACCCGTTTCTGTGTAGGCGACGACGAAACGTCAAAAGTATGAAAGAATAAGCGAGAAAAAAATGTCGACACCCGTTGAAGTATTATGCAAAGGGTATCCTTCCGAATTTCAGATGTACCTAAATTACTGCAGAGGACTGCGATTTGATGAGGCTCCAGATTACATGTATCTGCGCCAGCTATTTCGTATTCTATTTCGAACGATGAGTCATCAGTTCGATTACGTTTTCGATTGGACGATTCTTAAACAAAGAGGCCCCGTCGGCCCGTCCTCTCGCGGGGGTTCATTAAATGGTGATCCAGGCAACACATCAGGCCGCGTTCAGGCTCTTCCTGATCCTGCCACTGCTGGTGCTGCAACTGAAGGTGACGCCAATGCAGACGCTTCTGTTAACGCTACTGCAGGAGGAGCTCGACGGAGATAAAATGGGTGGATTAAAATAATTTTGTTGAGTTACATAAGTTGCCTCTTGGATATATCAGACTCTAAAGTTGAGTTCGAAAATTCATATTTCTCTGACTAAAACCCAACATAATAGGGTATTTGCAAATTTATTCATTTGATAATTCATGTCTTTCGATTTACGTAACTTTGGAAGTATTGTAATGTAAACTCGCACTTCACACTGTTATAAACTAATGTTTTACTTCCATATCATTCATTACGTGAAATCGCAATGTAGTTATTGCTCCGAAAACTAGGTATTATTTTTACAATGTACATAAATGGGGTGTGTTTCAATGCTAACGGTCACTCGGATATGTAATGACGAACAATTGATTACTCTTTAAGGTTATACTTGTCAGACTCGCATGTATGCTGACGGCTTATCTGCTTACACACTACTTTTTCAAGACAATCAGTCTTGTTCTTGTTCATTTTTTACAATTATATGAGGATTGATACGTAAAAGGTAAATTTTGATTTTACCAAATACCTCGGCAGTTCCCTCAAGTGTCAATTCGTTATCGAATGTAAATTACTTCTTTTGAATTTTGTGTAGATTTCTCTTGATATTTGTTTGTATTTTTAATCATTATAGCTTATAACAATTGTAAAATATGAAGCCCACTTCGTTTTCACTGACTTTAGCAGTGTACCGAATTCAGCATGTCTTGCTGCGTCTGGGTTCTCTTGTCAGTTCTGCCGGTTATGAAAGCCAGTTGCCTCTGTCTGGTTGGTGAAGGTTTATGAAAAATAACCTTTCTGACCTAAGCCATGTCACTCAGATCCAGTTTGTGTTTCTGGCACCTCCGTCAATTCCTCGAATGTTTTCAAAAATTAGTTGAATTCTCTCATCACAAGGTATTCAATCAGTAATTTCTACGAACCCGTTTGAATCGATCTATTTTTAACTTTTCCAGGGTTGCCGAAAGATTGTGCGAGCCTTGGTCAGTATATACATGCCTATAACTTCGGTGACATCCAATAGAGCTGTTATAGTAGACTGTATTTTTTGAAAATTTGCCATATTAGAGTGTGAAGTAAGGCGGTAAAAGTACATTGTTGAAATGATTTAGACCTCATTCGTCATTCTGTAGCAACATGCGTTGTGTGATCCTTTATCAGGAGGAAGCAGACCTCATGATTTTCATCAACCCATCTGTTATTTGAGTGTATGCAAATTAAAGGATTCCTAGTATCACTGAGTGGTCGCAAGTACTTAGAATTGGAATGGTGTAATATTTCATACAATTGGTTCCCTTGATAAATTTCGATGAAGAAATGAAGACGAAATTTACAGTATAAAATGATATTCTATTTCACAGGTTCTCATCAGCTGCAGACTACCTGAAATTGCAACGGTTATGTAAATGATAATAACACTTTAATGTTTGAGTGGTAGTAGAGAAGAGATAAAATTGACGCATCCTAAATGAAAGCATTACAATTTTTAGTTTAAGTTTTCATCATCAATTTATACGCTTTTAAGGTTGAAAAGGGAGGTAGGGGTAAGGTAGAAAACAGAAAAAATTGATCAACAGAACAGTGTTAGTTGGTAGGCTCACATAGCAACTCCAAAAAACAAAGGCGGTTAAAGTTCATGAGATTAAGATTTGTTTAGTGAGTTGAGATCACTGAGTAAGATGACTAATTGTAATCAAAATTCAGTTACCACGGAAGTGAGAGGTTAATCACTCTCTTTCTGTATCCATAAGTATGGTTTAAATCGTTTGATTGCAATTGCTTCGGCAATTCGTAGTAAATTTGCTGTCCTTTGTATATTTAATATTTTGAAGAACTCAGAAATCTGATATGTCAATATTGTCAACTTCCTTGGAAAATTGATAGCTATACTTCAGACTATGGGTTGCAAATTTAATTGGAATCGGCTCTATAGAATCAGCTAACCATCGAGCTAGCTTGTGGCATGGCGAGCCGATCATTGACAAGATTAGTCTTAAAGGCACATTTGCTTTAGGAATTTTCGGTAGGCCGTACATTGACGGCAGGGGTACACCTTTTGACTTCAGTTCATTGTATGTTTCGTTGTTGATTAGTTTCTTCATTAGAAGTTCTTTGAGACATTTATTTACTCTATTTTCAAACGACGTTGTGGCATCTTTTGTTGTCTACTTGGAATTTTTCTTTGTCGTTTAGAACTGTCATTTTATGTATATAATCAGCTTTGTTCATTATAACAACCGCAGAGCCTTTACCAGGTCTAAATATGACGATTTCATCGTTCTCGTATAGTTTCTTCAGCGCTATTCTATGCTCTTCGGTCAGCATCTGCTTCCCCATTGGCGATATGTGGTATTGGTTAGCAATATCAACAAGTTTAGACTTCAGTCATCCTCTTTTATCTTCGTCTAAGGGTTTCAGGTCGTAGAGTTGACGGTATAAGTGTTAAAATTGCGCTTCTGTGTCGATACGACTGATCTACCAGGGAATAATCTCGTTGACTTAAAATTATGAAGTGATACAGTCTTTCTAAGTGAAAACACTGACAAATTAGAGTCTTCTGAATGCCTTGAGTTACAATCTGTGAATGTTCGGCATGCTATTCGCTCCCGCCAAATGTAAGATAATGTAACAGGTCTGGACTACTCGAACCCCTAGTTTAGAAATAGGGAGTGAAGTGGTAGAGCACGTTGACCGATTCACTTATTTGGGAAGTACCACCAGCCCCAATGGGTTCATCTCTGACGAAATCTCAGCATGGATACAGAAAGCTAGTTTCGCATATGCCAGTTTACGCCGTAGACGTGATATCCGGCTTTCGACCAAAGGGCGAGTGTACTGCTCAGCAGTTCGCTCCGTCCTCCTTTATGGCTGCGAGACGTGACCATAGAGAGTGGAAGACATGAAAAGATTAGCTGTCTTTGATCATAGGTGCTTGCGCTCTATCTCCCGTGTGAATTGGTATAATAGGGTCAGCAATATTGAGGTTAGGCCTTGGTCGAGTGCTAGGTAAGGAGGGGAAACCAATCCACGAGGCTGTGAAATTACATCGACTGAGATGGTTAGGACATGTGTTATGTATGCCTATTCATCGCCTTCCTCGACGAGCAATGTTAGCTGATATAGGGTCAGGCTGGAAAAAAGCTAGCGGCGGTCAAACAAAAACTTGGCACCAGTCAATGAAATCCACAACAGTTGGTCTAAGCCACGTAGGAAGGTGTAGACTTCCAGACTGGGGTCCTCGGGACGGTAAAAATCTATGGTTGGAAACAATTGGCGACATGGCTCAAAATCGTTCTCAGTGGCGCAGATGCATCCATCCACTCCTTGTGACTTATGATCTCCAATGAAACTGTTTTGTTCTTCGTTATTACTCCGCCTTTGTCTCACACCTCTGCTCACTGTCTCTATTATGCTTTTCTTGTACTTTCTTCTCTTGCTTCGCGTGCTACACGGAGTTTGGCGACTTGAACTGCCGCACATTTGTGCAAAGTTCTATGTCGAAAACAGACAGACAGATAAACTGGAATATGCGAAACCAGTCTTCCGTATCCATGCTGAGATTTCGTCAGCGATCAACCCGTTGGGGCTGATGCAGTTTCCCAAATAACTGAAGTGGTCAACATGCCCTACCAGTTCACCCCATATATGTAAGCAAGGAGTCCATCTAGTCCAGTCCTTAGCATCATCTTACATTTGGCGGGAGCGAATAGCATTCCAAACATTAACAGATTGGAACTCAAGGCATTCAGAAGACTCTCTAATCTGTCAGTGTTCTTACTTAGAAGGACTATATCACCTGCATAATTTTAAGTCAACGAGATTACTCCCTGGTAGCAAGTCAATCCTGAGTCTCTGAAGTGAGTAAGGGTTGAATCCATTAGTACGTCTATGATAGATTGAATAGGAATGGGGATAATGGGCATATATATATATATATATATATATATATATATATTCAATTAAGTTACATCACGCAATAATTTTTATTCAAATCTTAACAGCAGTTATCATGGCGATGGAAAATCAGTTTAAGATTTCCATTGGATATTCATGATTAAAAAAAATAAAACAATATTTTAGCAGATATATGTTCCTCCTAAGAATGTACAAGTGCAAATCCATGAATCTCACCCCATACATAAGGTGTTAATCGAGCTATCATGGAAATTGTTTCTTGGTAAATGGAAGGAATGATATTCAGTCGTATGACTTAATGAGAACCTAATATTTGAAAATAATGTATACTTTTTAAAATATAATAGGTATAGTAGATGCAAGTTTTTCGGAAGTGATTGGTAACCGGTGAGATGAATTTCATGGATGTAACGTAGAAATAGTGTATATCAAGGAAATAACCAGAGACTGTTGATTTATATCTTCTAGCCACTCAATTTCTTCCTTCTATATCGGTTATTATCCAAATGCCTTATGTTTAGCCTGTATCACTCGTATGCATTTGATATTATGGGTCATTGGTCGAATCAATTGGACTCAGACAAACTGTTTTATGGATTTATAATTCCTTATTCAATCATCGGGAGTAAGACAAGGTTACCCGCTATCTCCAATGATTTTCCTGATTGCAGTAGACTGGGTAATGCAACAAACAGCGTCAATGAGGAGACAGGCATAACATGGACCCACGTTAAAAATTTGGAGGATCTGGATTTCGCCGATGGTATATATCTGATTTCCCACAAACTGGTAGATATGCAAGTGAAAAGCAACAAGTTAGCAGAAGAAGCATAAAAATAGGAAGGACTTCAGGTGAACACAGAGAAAACAGAGGTGATGAAGATTCCTGGCCAGCGACAACAGACAACAATCACCATAAATGGGAGAAATCTGAAAGAAGCAACCTCCTTTACCTACCTGGGAAGCATCGTTTCAACTACAGGTGGAACTGACGAGGATATCAATGCAAGGATCGGGAAAGTAAGGCAAACCTCTACTACTCTCAAGTCTGTGTGGAGATCATCATCAAAATAAGATCCGAATTTTCAATTCCAATGTGAA